TGTGTGTATATATGTATATATATATGTATATATATATGTATATACACACACACACACACACATATATATATACATATACACACACACACACACACACACACACATATATATATATATGTACATTACATGTGTTTTACAGCTTTATATTGAGTTGAGTATCCATGAGCTGAAAAAGACACGGTAAGTGTCCCTTCTTACTCATTTCAAGCTTAAGTCGTTTTAGAATTCCAACTCGCATACTCATATATTCATAGTGATGTCAGTTGGCCTACATCATCTTATAATGCAGACACATGTAACTAGGTTCAACATCTGGCAAACCGTTGATCGAGTGAGCAACTCAGAGTCAATTGGTGAGCCTCCCATCATTCTGGAGGATATCTTTATCATTCAATTATTGTTTTTAGTTTTCACTTGTTAGGATAATTGGGGGTCCTCCCCCAACATTCTTCTTTATTTTAGAGGCTTCATAGACTGATAGTATTAGTTTCTTTAATCTTTTCATTTCACTTGTAAATGATTAAGACTGAGTTGTCCTTTTGGCTAAGTATTACTTTTATGTATTTCTTGAGCTTTTTCTTGTGTTTAAGTCTTCCCCTAAGTAAGTAAGCTAGGCCAAGGGTCCGCTCAAGACCATACAACTCATTGATATCATCTAATTTTCATCAAGTTCTCACTTTGTTTATTTTCAAATATAACTTGATAGTAAATGTTCACACATTAGCAGTGAAATGCAACATAACTAGTTATAATTGCTCGGTACTTTTACATAATTGAACTAAATAGGATATTTCCGGATCATTGCTCAATTAAGATAGATTTGTTTTAAGATGGAATCAACGTGGGTGTCTCATGTCACTTTTAAGTATTTGGTACACATAATGTGGTGTAACTATTAGAAAACATTACTAAGAAAATTAAAAGATTACTGAGAATTCTAAGGAATGGTATTCAAATACCTTGGAGAATATCCTTCACAAAAGATATAATTACACCACATATGAGGTCGGAGTCAAACCCCACAAGAAATAATGTGTCAGTGATTGAAAAATAAAGAATTACAATGTATAAATTTGTATCTAAATGAAAAATACACAATTATTATATGAAGATGATTTTAGTAATAATCACAGATAGAGGCGAAAGTATTGTCAAGAAAGGAATCTATGCAATTATGAAATGGGAAGCTAATTGACATCAACATGATCCATTGCACATTAATCTCAAGCAAATTCACTCATATCTAAAATCGTATATGAATTGGAAAATCAATGATTCGCCTACTTCTCCAAACGTAAGCAAATATATCTTATTTAATTCTCCTGAATCTAGTTAAGTAGCAATTATGATTAGTACAATTCTATGCATAGCATGGATTAACTATATCTAGCTATCATTCGATGTATCGGTTGTTACACCTCAAAAACTAAATTCTTCGGTATATCTACCACTAATAGGAGACGTAGAAATAGGACCATACATTTGATTTAAATTCAATTAACAAGACTACTGGCCAGTACTTCCAAAATATTTATACAACTGAGTTAAACTGAAGCTCTTTACCACTTCTTGCAAATTGTGTAAATGCCATCTCCCAAGAAAAAAAATCTAAACTTGGCAGGTCTCTAACTAGAGAGGAAGTTAAATCAGCTATGTTCTCCTTTCAACCCCTCAAATCACCGGGCCCGAATGGCCTCCACCCGCTATTCTTCCAGAAATTCTAGAATGAAACGGAATAAACAGTAGTCTCCACTTGTATGACCGCTTTTAGTACTAGCTCTATTTCCCCTCAATTAAACAAGACCTTCATTTGCCTTATACCAAAAATTAATAATCCTGAACAAATTACCCACTATAGGCATATTAGCCTTTGCAACACAATTTACAAAACCACCACTAATATTATTGTTAAAAGAATTAGGTTATTCCTAAATAATGTCATTAGTCTGAAACAATGGAGCTTCATCCAAGGTCGTAGAGCACTAGACAATGCTATTATTGTTTAGGAAGCTATATATTCTTTCCAAAAACCTAAAGGGAAATTTGGGAAAATACTTCTGAAAATCGATCTAGAAAAGGCCTTTGAGAGATTAAATGGTCCTTCATTCGGCAATATCTAACGATCTCAAACTCTCCAAATAATATTGCTAAACTTATCATGTCTTGTATAATATCTTCCTTCGTATCAATCCTAATAAATGGAACTCTGATTAGTTTGTTCCGACCATCTTGAAGAATAAGGCAAGGAGACCCCCTCTCACCCTACATTATTATAATCTTTATGAAATCTTCCTTGAGACTCATACACTTCGCCATCCAAGAAAGCATTTGGCAACCTGTTAGGATAGGTAGAATAGGAGTTCCTATATTTCACCTCCTCTTTGGGAATGACATTATTTTTCTTGCCAAAGCTGGCTCCATAAATGCGTCCTCGATAATCCACAACTTTAATGCTCTTTCAAACCAATGAGGGAAAAAATCAATTTCAACAAATCCACCATCATTTTTTCATCAAATGTTACACCATGCGAGAAATGAATTATCCACTATGATGAATATCCGCCAATCAGAAAACATAGGTAAATACCTAGGCCTAACGATTGCAAACCATCATCCGAAAATCCAAGACTTTCAATACACCATAGACAACCTAAATAAAAAACTTAGTGGGTAGACACTAGGATTCCTTTCCATAGAAGGAAGAACTACCCTCATTAAAGCAGTCCTAGCCTCAATTCCAACTTATGAAATGCAATGCAACTTAATACCCCAAGCTACTATTATCGTATAGACCGCATCCAGAGAAACTTCCTTTGGGGTCAACACCAGAAAAGAAGAAGCTCCACTTAGTAAATTGGGACACGTGCACCACTGTGAAGAACCAAGTTGGTCTAGGACTCTAAAACACAAGTGGTATTAATTTCTCACTTCTAGCTAGCTTGCACTAAAGATGTTTAGATAACAAAGACAATTTGTAGGTTAAAGCTCTTTCAAAAAGTTATAGCAATAGGAGAAACAATACCTATACTAGAAAATTTCACGCCTATGACTCATATATTTGGTAAAGCCTTACTAAATCCTACCAACTATTCCAAAGGTATATCTTGGAACATAGGGGACGGATAAAAAAATCTTTGGAATGAAAGATGGATTGAAGGGACTCACACTTTGTGAGAAACTATCAATGGACCCCTAAATAAATCTGTTACAGAACTTGTAGTGATGGATGTAAAGAGAAATGATTGGTATTTATCCAGAATCTCCTTCGAGCTCCCTTCCCATATAAGATCTTGCATCCATACTTATACTCAACTTTATATGCCCAAAAAAGATGATTTTGGAATCTTAGTAGTAGTGGTAAATTCAGTGCAAGTAGTTCCTATAAACTTTTCCTAGGCGCTAATAAAAAAGACCATATTCAAACTCTTGTGAACTTGACTTGGATTTGGAAACTCAAGTCTCTTAACAATATAAAATTCTTTATGTGGCTCCTCACTATCAATAAACTCCGTATGTAAAACACCAAAAAAAATTTGAACTAAGACTCGAACCATCCTGCGTAGTAAATAACCTTTTTCCAAGAAAGTTAAAATTTCTTTAGTATTAAGTTCAGGTCACTAGATGTAGCACCTTGAGTTCTAAAAAAATTGGAAATAACAAAAAATTGAAATTTGAAGAATTAAGCTAAGTATGAGTTTTGGGTTAACTTAAAACAACCATAACTCCTAGAAAAAAATGAGTTGGGTGAGCTACAAGATACTTTAGGAAAGATCATTGAATTATCTTTATCTAGTTTTCTAAGTTTTGAGTTCGGATGAGTGAGATATGTTTTTTTGAAGTTATGTTGTCTAGTTAAGGAAAGTTAGCCGAAAATAGTAAGGGGTATTTTGGTTTTTCCCTAACCCAATCAGATTTAATTCATTTTTATTAATATTTTAGGGGTATTATCCTATTAGGTTCATTTCAGTAATCTCAATATACGCCTAGGGTTTTAGTTGAGATTTCAAGTAGAGAAAGAGGAGATAATAAACCGTTCGTCGAGTTTCTTGTGTCTTGTTGAGGATTTTCTCCATGGTTTTGACCCCTAGAGGTATGTAAGCTTTCATAGTGGTGGGTTAGTTCACCCACATTCCAAACATATTATTTTCAGCATAATTCATTCTCAAAAAGTTAGGATTTAAGTTCTTGAGGTTCATTATAAATCTTGTCATGTAGGGGTTTTGATGATTTCTTGAGATGAAAGTGATTGTTTAGAGTGTTTTTAATGTATTAGTGTGTACTTAGGTTGGATAATTTAATATAATTAAAACTTGAGAAAAAATTCGATCAAAAGTGATGTAGGTAGGATCAGAAAACGAGAGGCGGAATTCATCGAACTTTGCCTCAAGAGAGGCTGGCGCGGAACAAGTAGACATTGTACATGCATTGCACAAGTAGACTTTGAGTGGGTAATGGTATATCTTTTATGATATTATGATTATATTTCACTTGTTTTAAACTGCTTTATATTGAAAAGAGTTCAGTTAAGTATCATGAGTTGAGTATTACGAGTTGAGTACCTTAAGTTGAGTATCTTGAGTTTATTTGTGCTTTATTGAATCGAGTATCATATATTTAAAGTTGATTATCTAATCTTTGAGTTGATTATCTAATCTTTGAGTTGAGTATCTTATCCTTGAGTTGATTAAGTTTGAAAAGAGGTACTTATGTTTATATGCTCATACATTCTACGTACTGAGCTATTTGACCTGCATCTTCTCGCTATTGAGACACGGGTATTAAGGATCTTCAACACGAGCTTTGCTGATGCATTCGAGAGTTCGAGTTAGCTATGGTGAGCCTCCTTACTTATGGAGGATTTCATATACCTTTCAGTTATATTAGTTGTTAGGATGTCGTGGGTCTTGTCCCGACTTCCATATTTATCAGCCAAAGACTTCATATATAGTCAGTGTTGTTGAGAAGTTTGCATCATTTATTTTATTAAATGTTTCAAAGACTTAAGTTGTCTATTTGTGGCGGATTGAATATAATTATTTTTATTCAGAGTTTTTTATTTGAGTTAAAGTTTTGTATTTCAGTTTCAAAAATTTTATTCTGTTTTAAGCTTTTGTAAGCTTGAGTTAGTCTTCTGCTTGTAGTCAGCCGGGATGAAAGTTTGCTTTGGGACCAGCAATGGCTCTTGATTGTTGGCCACATCCAGGGTTTAGCCTTTGGTCATGACACTTTACCTCCTCCGTGCTTTTCTATAGAAATATTACTAATAATAAAAATTGTATATCTTGTTCAAATATAGAAGAAATTGTGTCACATTTTTTCCAACTTCCCTGTCTCTTGTAACATGTGGGGGAAATTTTCTATAACTTTAGACAACAATGATTTTTATAGCAGCATCTTCAGGTTGTGCAACTCCACAACTCTTACCACAACCTAGAACAATCACTTTGTTAGGATCGAATTCACGCACACACACTAGATGAATGAAGAACACAAGAACTTTCAAGAGAAAGAGATGAGAAATCTAGAGAGAGAGAGAGAGAAAACCCAATATTTCGTGGTAAAACCCCATGAGTAAACTTTCACGGCGGTGAGGTATATTTATATTAATAAATCAGAGTATTTTTGGTTACAAAGAATAAATAGGAAAACCTAAAATAGAGAATAAATAGGAAAGCCTAAAATAGAGAATAAATAGAAAAACAAAATTAATCAGGCTCCACTACCTAACAATTCTCCCACTTGGAGACTGACTCAGTCATCCAAATAATACATTCTCAAAAAAAAATCTCTTCATCATCAACATCTTTACCGCACCGCAACATCTGTAGCAACAACTACAGAAGACCAACCGAGGTTTTACATAACCTCAGTTTCCCAACATCAACACATTTCATCAACATATTTGCTGGGTTCTTTGCACCCTCTATCTTCTCCAGGCACATATCACCATCCTCCACTGCCCTGCGAGTGAAATGGTATCGCCTTCTGATGTGCTTTGTCTTCGAATGATAGAGTGGATTTTTCAACAACTGTATGGCACTTTGGCTATCTGAGTAGAGAATCTTCTCGCTCTGCTTCTTGCCCAATTCCTCAAGATAATCTGCCAGCCATATCATCTCTTTCCCAACTTTATCTATTGCCTCATACTCAGCTTCAGTAGATGAAAAAGAAACACACTTCTGAAGCCTGGACATCCAACTCACTACTGTTCCACCTATGGTGTAAATGTACCCGGATGTACTATTGCTCGAGTCAACATCCCCACCAAGATCAGCATCCACAAAACCCTGTAGAGTCACCTTGCCTTTGCCAAAACAAAGTAAAGTAATGGATGTACCTCTCATATATCTCAGAAGCCACTTCACAGCTTCCCAATGCTCTTTCCCAGAGTTCGCCATGTACCTGCTAACAACTCCCACTGCATGTGCTATATCAGGTCTAGTGCAGACCATAGCATACATCAAACTACCAACTGTTGAAGCATATGGAACAAGTTCCATGTGATCACGCTCCTCGGCAGTCTTGGGTGACTGTTTCTTTGACAATTTAAAGTGATTTGGCAATGGAGTAGTCCTGGGTTTAGCATCATGAACCCTGAATCTGCTCAGCGCCTTCTCAATGTACAACTCCTGAGATATATTTAAAGTGCCAGCAGATCTATCCCGATAAATCTTCATCCTCAAAATCTGTTTTGCTGGACCCAAATCTTTCATCTCAAATGATGCAGACAACCTTGTCTTCATATTGTTAATCTCCCTCATACTAGATCCTGCAATCAACATATCATCCACATACAAGAGTAGAAAGACATATGAATCAGTGTATTTCTTGAAGTAACAACAAGGATCCTTTTCAGCTTTGCAGAATCCACTCTTGGTCATGAAGGAGTCAAACTTCTTGTACCACTACCTTGGCGCTGACTTTAGTCCATACAAGCTCCTGGTGAGCTTGCACACCATGTGTTCCTTGCGTGGAACCACAAATCCTTCCGGTTGTTGCATATAGATCTCTTTGTCCAGATCTCCATGTAAAAACGTTGTTTTTACATCCATTTGCTCTAGATGCAAATTTTCCGATGCAACAATACTCAACAGAATTCGAATAGAGGTTAACTTAACAAAAGGAGAGAATATTTCAGCATAAGCAATACCTTTCCTTTGTGAATATACTTTAACCACTAAACGAGCCTTGAACCTTCTTTTGTCATCTGGTTCAGTCTTGATTCTGAACACCCACTTGTTCAGCAAAGCTCTCTTCCCTGCAGGTAGCTCAATCTACACCCACATGTCGTTCTTCTCAAGTGACCTCATCTCATCATCCATGGCTTGCTCCCACTTGATCGAATCCTCCACCTATAGGGCCCTATCAAAAGACTCTGGTTCCCCCTCATCAGTCAACAATAGATAGTGTTATGAAGGTGAATACCTATCTGGTGCCTTGATGGATCTGGATGATCTCCTTAACACCTGCTCAAGTGTAACTTGCTCCACTTCAGATTCTTCAGTAGGATTTGGTTGAGCATTTGCTTCGACATCTCTGGGGTTACTCTTCTCCAACTCAATCTCAAGTCCCACTTGCTTCGTAATCTCTAGAACCTTCTGCTCTCTGTCCTTGTACAGGACAGACTCATCAAATGTCACGTCATAATGTCTCGGGATCTTTTTGTTCTTGTCATCCCAAAACCTGTAACCAAACAAATCAGAACCATATCCTATGAAGTAACAGCGCCATGTTTATACACCCTGCAGTAGTGTACAAGGTTCCAGATTTGGTGCCACGAGCTACTACCATAGCACCTTTCACGATTTTCAACGAACCTTTCCCAAACTCTGCTGCATATCCCGTGCTATCCAACTGACCAACAGAGATCAGATTTTGCATGATCCCAGGAATATATCTGACATCCTCCAATGTCCACTGGTTTCCCGAGGTGGTCTTTATCCAAACATCCCCCTTTCCTTCAATCTCTAAGGCTTTATTGTCAACAAGATATAATTTTCCAAAATATCCAGATTTGAAGTTTTGGAACAACTCCTTGCTTGGAGACGAATGGAACGATGCACCAAAATCTAAAATCTATGATTCAACCGGGCACACTAAGGATTAGAGCATCCCCAATGTCCTCTGTTGAATTTACAGAATCATTGTCATCTCCAAATTTCTGATTCTGTTTCTTCTTTGGCTTTGTACAGTTTGTCCGAAAGTGCCCTTTTTCTCCACAGTTCCAACAACATCACGGATTTCATCAAACTTCAGTTTCTCAGATCCACGGGAACTGCTTATCGCAGCAACAACAGTATCCCAAGACTCGGGCAGAGATGACATCAAAATAACGCCTTAATTTCATCTTCGAAATTAATATCCACAGAATTGAGTTGACTCACAATCATATTGAACTCGTTTATATGATCAGAAACGGATCCATTCTCAGACATCTGTAAATTAAACAATCTACGCATTAAATATACCTTGTTCATAGCCGATGGTTTTTCATACATGTTTGACAGTGCCTTCAACAGACCGGACGTAGTCTTCTCCTTCACGATGTTGAACGCCACGTTTCTTGACAAAGTCAACTAGATCAACCCTAGAGCCTGGCGATCCTTGAGTTTCCACTTCTCCTCCGTCATGGATTCCGGCTTCACCCCGGTCAACGGTTCGTAAAGATCT